GTGGCTAGTAACGAACGGTACGGGAGTGCGCCGGAGATCGGACACGTACGTGCGCGCTGTTCGTTCGGTGGGTACATACCGTGCGCGGCGGGGGGGTGGGGGGGGGGGGGGGGGGGGGGGGGGGGGGGGGGGGGGGGGGGGGGGGGGGGGGGGGGGGGGGGGGGGGTGTAATCTTTTTCAACCCCATTTAAGAAGTGTACCGGGATATGTGCAGCCCCGGAAATGATTCCCAAATCAACCCGAATGATACCGACCCCGAAATAATCCCCATTTCTTTTCACGTCCACGAAAAGATCCCCAATTAATTTTAGGAATGGAATAATATCCTAGAACTATGGATCGAGCAAAGTGCACAACATTAATTAAAGTCTAACTAATAATCTTCACCTGCCCGAATTCTTTAATGGCATTAATTTGGGATTCCACTTTGATTTTAAACTGGATTAGACGAAAACATTGTTTGACACACAAAGTCTAGTATATTTTTAGTAACACCGTGAACTGCAACCAATAACATCAAGAAACACAACATTTTTATGACTTAGGTGATTATAGTCCAGGTTATGGAGAAAACTACATGGATGTTAAATGCTAAAAATGATGTTAAAGATGCAAACGTAGACATAAAGGTGATTAGATGACAAAAACGCTAAAAAATCGCATAAACGTAAACACTACAACAGATCAGAGTGGTAATAATTCCTTGGCGGAGTACCATTCCATTCCAAGACTTAATTGGGGTCATTTCGTTGTCGACGTGAAGAGAAATGGGGATTATTTAAGGGTTGGGAATCATTTCAGGGGCCGTGTACAGATAACAGAATAGAAAAATATAGGAGGCTTCAAGAATGATATCTCGTTCAACGGGGCCCAATGTTATTATCCCGTTTTAGATATAATTATTGTTGATATTGTCAAGAGTTCTTATGCAACCCATAAAGCGCTGTTCTAGGAAACGTCTTGAAAAATACCTTTCTCTGCCGCCGAACGAAACTGTCAGCCAAGGAATTTGGTAAAATCGCCGGGTAAATCCTTGTCCGAGGGATACTTTATTCCTTCAATTTTCGGCTGAAGGAACGAAATTGATCTCCCAAAATTAATGAGACCCTACAATCAAAACACTACACCTAACTCAATGAACATTTTTTCACAAGTAGAACATAGAACATTTTACAGATCTACATTTCTTTTATATCTGGGTTAATGCTGGGGGAAAGAGATCCCATAAGAGAGGTAGGGGGATGCTTGCCGGTCTTGTAAACTGCAGATTTCGGCACCAGAGATTTATCAAACTACATTTACTGGCAGCGTTTCTATCGTCTTCTTTAAGACGGTGTCTTCTTCGGTTCAAGTAAAGCTTGAGAACTTCCCATGTCTCCCCTTGGCTTTAATTTGAAACAACCGACGAGCACACCAGCCCTGGCCTTTTACATTGGCCTGAGTTCCCCCAGGGCATTAGTGCGGTTCATTGCATGCAATCAAGCAAGAGCTGTAGTCATTCGGGTGAGGCCTGGACCCTAGCCCGGAATACCAGGACTTTCCTGGACTTTCGATGGGTACATAGCCTGCGTATCATGGCGGTTTTGTCGCGCGCACTACCGAGCGGCGAAGCCGCAAAAGCGCGCGAACGAGCGGGGAAGCCAATCTCCTCGCAGTTTCAATGTCCCAACCTTGGCTTGTTTGCGCGCTTGACCAAGGCCTCCATGCTGCGTAGGCTAATGCGTACAAAGACTTTGGGCTCTTTCCATTCAACCAAATGTCCGCTTTGAATTTTCGGAAACTTCCAGTAGCAAATGGAACAACATTTTCCAAAATTTCCAAAAAAGAGGACAACCTCGCAAGGTATACCCAAATTTCGAAATTTTTTTCCCGGAAGTTTTCTTTCTATTCATTTTTGCTCCCAGAATTTCTAGAATTTTCGGTTGAATGGTTCACATTTCAGAAATTCAAAAGCTTTCGGGAAATTTCTACAGCATTTGCCGCTGTTTTCAAATTTTTGAAAGTTTTGGTTGAATGGAAAGCGCCCTTTGCCTTTCTTCCTTGGTTTGTTTTCGAGGTTGTCCCACGACCCAGAACTCTGCTCGTGCGGTCTGTCAATATGTATGCACAGATAAGAAAGAATCGCCTTGGAGATTGCAAAACCAAATACAAATACACAGTTCTCAAATGATTAATTATTCTAGAATTATTCTTATTCTATTCAAAATTAAAGTTAGCAAAATAAAAGTTTCGTCAATCCATATTGGACATTACAACCTGTCCAGTAGCGAACTGAAGTTCTCCCTGTTTTCTCTGCGTGAATAACGACTTAATTACAAGGCCAAGTTGGACGTTATTTGTTAAAAAAGCTGTTATTATTCAGGTAATTAGCTTTCACAGCAATACTTTATAGTGCAAAGTCTTCGGCTGTAAACGTTTGAAAACACAGACACCCAGGATTCTCTGCATATTCTCTCCTTTCCTCATCATCTTTCTCGGTCAAACCCGTCAACATCTCGGTCAAGCGATCAAATACCTCGGGTACACACCAGTTATATTCGTGGAGAAAACTGAAGTAGTTCTGCAAAATCTTCTTGGAAATAAGGTCTTTTGTGAATAGCGACTCAAATCTCTCCACTTCTGGAAGAAGACAGTGATCTTCCTCATCGTAAAGCCCGTCAGCACCCTTCTCTATAAGCACGCCTTTTCCAGAATCATATTTGGCTGAATGCGTGCGCAGTGGTATAGTGTAGGGTGTTAAAAACGCCGATACTTGACTGCAATTAACTTTAATACAGAAATTGAGAATGGCAAAGACTTCAGAAACTCTGTTTCCAAGTTGATCTTCAGCCCACATCTTATCATCTGGATAATTATTTGCCATGTAGAGAACTATGTTTTTAAGAGCAAACGAAGAGACAAGGCCGTCTAAACAGAAAGAGCAGTTCTCTTTTTTCTGAATGTAAGGAACAAAAAACTTTGCAATGCATTTGGCAAACTTGTAGCACTGGATGCGTCCATTCAGCGGTCCATACTTGTTTAACTCTTCCCTTTCCTTTAGTGACATAGCAAAGCGCGGCGAGTTTAAAGCATACTCTATGTCACGGTCCTTAGGCAGCAAGGCGAATAACTTCATCTCTCCGTCAAGGCAATTTTTCAAGAGAAAGTCCCTTTGCTCAACGTTAGAGCCCTTCTCTTCGAGGACTGATTTGTGAATAGGTATCCAAAAGCAAATGTCGATGTTGACAATAAATCCATCCGATGAACGAACAAGATGGACTGTCCTCGCGATGCTTTGTTCGTCTCCATGGCAGGTTGATTCGGATAGTTTCCAGCCCTCGGGGAGAAAATCCTCCATGTAAAGGGACCAGACTTGCTTCATTGCTGCCTGAAAGTTTTCTTTGATGTGCTTAGTATCACCACCCCAGGCAATATCATCTACCAGGGCAACATAAGCCGGGTCGTCATACAACAGGGACTCGTCTTTCTTGAAAATTATGGGGAAAAGTTTCTCGAAGCTTTCGAAGTATGGAAGAACAACGGCATAGTCAAATTCATCAGCCTTGCCAATTTTCGTATTTTCGTTGACGCTACCAACTGGAATAAGGGAGCACTTTTCGAAAACAAGATAGCAAGATTCTAACTTTTCAATCGTCTTTCTCATCATCTCGTTTATCTCCTCAAATATCTTTTTACTCCGGGCTCCACTGTAATTTAACTCTGGCTCCATAAACCGAAGTAGTTGACAAAGTGGTAAGTCGTCGTCAAGGGGTTCAGAGAGATCATATGACCAGTGATCAGGCTCATAGCTTTCTAGAGCTTCGGTTGAAGTATCTTGGGTGTCTTGGTCATTTTTATCTACAGAGTCTGTTTTCTGTNCATCCGATGAACGAACAAGATGGACTGTCCTCGCGATGCTTTGTTCGTCTCCATGGCAGGTTGATTCGGATAGTTTCCAGCCCTCGGGGAGAAAATCCTCCATGTAAAGGGACCAGACTTGCTTCATTGCTGCCTGAAAGTTTTCTTTGATGTGCTTAGTATCACCACCCCAGGCAATATCATCTACCAGGGCAACATAAGCCGGGTCGTCATACAACAGGGACTCGTCTTTCTTGAAAATTATGGGGAAAAGTTTCTCGAAGCTTTCGAAGTATGGAAGAACAACGGCATAGTCAAATTCATCAGCCTTGCCAATTTTCGTATTTTCGTTGACGCTACCAACTGGAATAAGGGAGCACTTTTCGAAAACAAGATAGCAAGATTCTAACTTTTCAATCGTCTTTCTCATCATCTCGTTTATCTCCTCAAATATCTTTTTACTCCGGGCTCCACTGTAATTTAACTCTGGCTCCATAAACCGAAGTAGTTGACAAAGTGGTAAGTCGTCGTCAAGGGGTTCAGAGAGATCATATGACCAGTGATCAGGCTCATAGCTTTCTAGAGCTTCGGTTGAAGTATCTTGGGTGTCTTGGTCATTTTTATCTACAGAGTCTGTTTTCTGTGACACGTTTTCTTCTACTGAGCACGTTGTACTATCACGAGCTGCAAGATCATCAGAAGTGATGGTCGAAATGTCCGACACAGGTATTGGCTCATCAAATTTTGTACCAGAGAGCCTGTCGTCCTCCACATCAACTTCCTTCTCTATGCACGTCCAATCTTCGTACGGCCAGTTGGGCCTGGCATAAGTTTTGCAGAAATGAACAGTTTGTTTTCCTTCCATCAACAAGTGTTGGACAGCTCTGTGGGAACAAACCCATAAAAGCGTTAGGATGAGTTGTTGGACGGCAAAAATATCATTTTTAGGTCAGTAAGTTTTGCTGACTGGTTTGTGGAATTTAAAAGATATTCAAAATTCGCGCCAAAAACGTTCTAAAAATAAACTGGTCCGTGAAAACGCCGTGAGCGCAGGGAAGTTGCTCACTCCGGGTTATGGGCTCCTGGTCAGCGTTGGTAACTTGCAACAGTATCAAACCCAGTTAATACGGACACTGAGGGGGCCATAGAAAGTGTCCGTATTAACGAGGTGTCCGTAAGGCGGGGTCTGACCACAGGGTGCCCATACAATTTGTGTCTGTGTAGCCGATGTTATTTTACAGTAAATCTACTGGATTTACCGTTTGTCTCACCCATAGCGATATATCGCTAAGTATATACACCGACTTCAATAAAGGTTGCTTTAGGAATCATGCTTTGGTCTTTGAAAGCCATTGTTTGGTGGTCACTCAAGCAAACTCAAACTCTATCAAAATCGCTCAAAAAGTATATACACAGGTAAGGTAATTCAACGTTTATTTAACGGCATTGATTTATATACACCTATTTCAATAAAGGTTGCTTGGGGATTTCGTCATTGAAACACAGAATACAATGCAAAGCTTTGCTTGGCTGACCACTGAACAATGGCTTTCAAAGACCAAAGCATGATTCCCAGAGCAACCTTTACTGAAGTAGGTGTACATACTTAGCGATATATCGCTATGGGTGAGGCAAAAGGTAAATCCGTACATTTACTGTAAAATAACATCGGCTACACACACAGATTGTGTGGGTAACCTGTGGTATCACAGAACTGCTTGAGGCCTTGGGATCACGTGATCCGAACGAAATGTACACGGTCTCGCCAAGAAAACGATCGCAATCTACAAGCCAAAAAGCGAGCACACACTCACTAATAACAACGCGTTGCCACTAAAGAAGACAAGCGGTATCGTCATCTTCTTTTTCACTGGTACTCGTCCCTCGGGAGCGAGACGTGGGACTAGTAGGAGTTTACACTGAGAACGACGTTGCCGCTTGTTCCGACCTTGTCTTGTTTCTGCCTGCTACAAACCCTTGTTCAGAAGGCTGTTGTCGGTGGCGTAGCCGGCCATTCTGTTTGCCCTGGAATTTTGAATATTCCACTAAACATACATGTTTTTAAAATTAAAAGTGCCATCAAACATGATGACGAATGAATGCTTCATGCACCAAATAATAGCCTTTGCCACGTACTTTTCTTGATGCGATTCAATGACAAGAGAAGAAAATTTAAAAGCTATAATTCATCGGATAGTGAAGATTATCAGTGAGTTTATAAAGCAAAAGTGATTTCTGCGTTGTAATTTGAGGTTGTTGCATTTTCAATGAAACTTCCGCTTTTATGGATCAGCTCAAAGTCGCAGCTTTTTTGGGGGAAAATCGAAAGTAAATGTCGTTACTGGTGAGAGACAAGTTAGCGAATTAAACAAAAGTCTGTTGTTGTATATTGCCCAGCCAAGTTTTGGCCAATTGAAAAGACTTAAAATGCACTCGATCGGGTGTTTGTGAAGACTGTATTGTCGGTCGACGTGTTTACAGTCTTTACATTGTGTAGCCGGGGTTGTTCGAAGATTTGGCCGCCTTATTGTCCAATATTTCACTTACCATTCGATCGGAGGTCTTTAGGTCTTTTGGCTCCTAGCAATTCTTCGAAGATTCGGCAAATAGTAAATATTCAATCGGTCGGTCTTGCGCTGTTGACTGCAAAGTTTGCGAACGTCGACCTACTTCCGGGTATCGCTTCTGTGCGAGGTGCCAGTCGTGCGATCCCGTGGGTGGTAGAGTGAGGGTGAAAATACTTGATTAGCCTGCGAGCCGCAGACGTATTTCCGGTCGTCGCTTCTTCTTTCCTCCCTCTAAAGCCAAAAAAACCGGATGCTCTCGCAGGCTAGGAAAAGATTTAATACCTGTCTTTTTTAGATCTGTTCGGTTTTTGAGTCCCTAACGGTTGTGGTTTCTTAATACACCTTTGGTTTTCGGTTTTTATAGAAAAGGAAATAAATAGTCAGGTTAGGTTCGATCTTTCATCTTGTTTGTTTTAGCCCCCCTTCTCTCCCCCCCGCCCGGATCAACACAGTTTTATACAGAGAGGCTCCGCCCTACCCTTTTTTATCATTTTTTGACAGAAAAGGTATCCCTTTCATTCTTCTATTGACAAATTTTAAAATACCTAGTTCAGAACTTTGCATTCCTTTTAACCGCTGTAAAGGCACGTTCGTCTAAATATGAATAAATCACAAAACCAGAACGTATTCTCGACTTTTTCATGGGCATTAAATTCATCTGTTAGCCCTTTTGGGACTTTTTACAGACCAAAATGACAGATTTCATTTCCCTGTCAAAGACCTCAACTTGTGAAATCCCTATACAAACCTTTCAGATACCTGGAGAATGAAAAGGGTATCCCTTTTGGGAGGGGCCACCCCTATGTAACCCATTACAAGCATATGGAGTACCTACTCCCCACCCCGGGTTTTGGCAAAAGGACAAAAAGCTTTTTTTTTTTTTCAAAATTGAAGCATATATGGCTAAGGCAAAACAAGAACGCATACTGTAACCTCCCTTATCAAACGGAATCATCGTAATTGTCATGCTGTTTTTTAAACTTGACTAAGGAATTAAATTTTTTTTATGACTGAAAATGCAAATAGATGGTATTTGCAAAAAGATTGTGCCAGCCAAAGTTTTTATTCAGTTCACTAAAACAAGTACAAAAAATAATGTAGAACATCAAGATCAACTATAAAGTCTATGAATAAATATTTTGTAATGAGTTCTCTGGGATTGAAAAGACAGAAATTCTTCTGTGAGGGTTGGAGCCTCTGTGAAATGCATTGTTTTCTAAAATATAATGAGGGCGTATGAAATATACCCTCATTATATATTTGGGCAACACGAACATAATATAATAATAAGAAACATTACCAAAATAATTATCCAAGCTAGACAGACCAGCTGCTTATATTTTGTACAAATGTAAAAGGAGAATTAGGAGTTAAATCTGCAGCCTTCTGTATAACAATAAATTGTTCATATACTGCTCAGAAAAGAAACTAAATAAGGCAGTTTTGCACCCTGGCTTTAGGTCATGCTTCTGCTTGAACGTACCAGAGCTGTCACTAAGTGCCAGGGGCGGGGCATTTCCCTTAGGCTACTCTGAGCATGACACCCCCTCCCTAGGCTACTTTCATAGGGGATGAAGGTAAAATAAAACCAAAAGAACTTCCTAGTTGTTCAATTCCATGCCTACTAATTGCATATACCATAAACTGCCGTTTAAAAGCCCTCCCTTCCCCCCTGCCAGTTATCAGCCAAACTACTTGTAAACAAAAGAATACATCCGATTATAAACCCCCAGGCATACATTGTAAGACCCCCTCTAGCAACAAACCGCCGCTCCAATTTCGATTTATTGTGATGTTTTGAAGCTTAATTAAAAACCAATAATTGTAAAACATATTTTGATAAGCACTGCTACAGCTCATTTCAAAGTGCTTTTTCTGTTCCGGTTATAACCCCTCTTGGGTATAAGCGCCTTTTGATCTGTTTATAAGCCTCCTTAAAACCTCTACAAAGTTGTAAAGCCCAGGGTTTATAAGCAGCAGTTTATGGCACCCTACAACTTGGAATTTTAGTGACAGCCCTGATGCCACAATCATGAAAATCAAAGCTCAGTATGTGTGATTATATGTTCCATCTGAAGGCTGAATACTCAGTTTGTCAAACACTACACTCATTCCCTCTTCAGTGGGTGAACAACAATATAGTCCAATCTTGACTGCATTTCCACCTGAATCCAAATGAGCAATACGAACAAATTTCCAATCCTCAGAGTTTTCACTGGGTAACTTCCTCTCAATCTGAAGGGTAAGATTAGAATAAACAATACCGTTATGTCAATAATTTTAATTGAAGTAATACAAAAACCAGTGGATACATGTACATCTACTGTTAATTAATCCTCTATTAAGTTTATGTATTTCAAGCGCATTTGAAGGGGGGAGGGGGCTTATTTGAGAGGGGTGGCTTACTTAATTTAGTGAATGATGGTATCAGTTCTTCATGAAAAACAACAATGCAAAGTATATGAAGTATCAGTATGTATACGAAGTTGGAGGTCATACAGTGGAAGATGGAAAACAAATCTGAACTTCCAGTATAATATGAATAAACCATCAGTCCACATGAAGTGTTTCTGTCGTTATTAACTAAAACGTCTGTGTTTATTAATTCCCTTGTGCAGCTTACTAACTTTCTGTCCTTGAAAGGGGAGGACTGTTTACAGAGGGAGGATTAAGAGAGGATTTAAAATGTTATATAACTATTTCCTTAATAATCTATAAATTTGCACTGCAGAAGTATCAACTTGAAGTTCTCAAAAGGGGATGGAGAAAACTAATTCTGCGAGAGTTTGCTTGTCGAAGCCAAGAAGGTATTTAACTATGTAATAAAATTATCTCAGTCTGGAAAAACCTATTTGTAGCTACTTTCTACCCACTTATTTGCTTTGGCAATAAAAAATTTTTACATGTTTGAAGGCAATTAGTGCATAGAAAGTGCTTCCTGACTGAGGTAATATATAGAGAAAACTGCAACATATTAATTTTATTGTCTTACTGGAGAAGAATAATTGTTTCTCCTATGTTGATGCTATTAAAGAATAATGATCATAAAAAGAAAACAAGGAAAAAAA